TCTTATATCTTAATACTCTTCAAAAATTAATTTTCATTGATATTTTCACATTCTTTTCTTTCTAGATGGCTGCCCTGGTACAAGTTACTGAGACCAAGTCAAAATGCAGCTATGGGTTTCAAGGATATGTTAAATTATGTCCATGAATGTGTTGCTGTTGTGGTTGTATCCAAGACACTGAGTTATTGTGACAAGTCCCATCTCAAATTTTTGACAGCCAAACCATATGCTGGTGTGTGAGTGTTATGGATATAATATCACCCTGTCCACCACTGTCCCACAGCCAGGATCATGTTGCGTTACTACTCCAGTGATTAAACGACCACAACTTTGCAACAAATTTATGCTAAAATCCATGGTTTTTATATCCCACTGTAACTCAGTGAAGAGTCAACTGTGTTGTTAATACACACCCATGGAAATCGCAAAAACATGTGTGGTCATTTCAGGGCCATACACATGCTGGTAGATTTTTTTTACATAATAGGTAGTTTGTTATTTAAAATGAGAAGTTTCCTTCGCAGGGTGTCTGGGCTCTCCCTTAGAGGCAGGGTGAGAAGCTCAGTCACCCAGGAGGGACTCAGAGTAGAGACGCTGCTCCTCCACATCGAGAGGAGTCAGTTGGGGTGGCTCGAGCATCTGGTTAGGATGCCTCCTGGACGCCTCCCTGGTGAGGTGTTCCGGGCACGTCCCACTGGGAGGAGGCCCAGGGGAAGGCCAAGGACAAGCTGGAGGGACTATGTTCCTTGGCTGGCCTGGGAACACCTTGGGATTCCCMCCAGACGAGCTGGTCCAAGTGGTTGGGGAGAGGGAAGTCTGGGTCTCTCTACTTAGGCTGCTGCCCCCGCGACCCGACCCCGGATGAGCGGCAGAAAATGGATGGATGGATGGATGGATGGATGGATGGATGGATGGATGGAGGGTTTTGTAGCATGTCACTTTCAGGGTTGCTCATGTCAGGTTAGGCCTGAAGCCTGAAGTTACTAAATCTCATACAGCCCTTTGTTACTCACTACCTCTAAGAGTAAATGTAGTTTTTGGCAAAATTCTGTCTCAGTTTGTTTTGTTTTAATTTGTTCCTAATGTCAATTTTTGTTCCCGTCTTGCATCTTTTTTACTATTGTGGATTTTTTTTATTTTTAATTATGAACATCTTGTCACGGCATCCAATTTTCCTATATAAATTTGTAAAGTTATTTACAAATACACAAAGTTAAGAACTTTCTTAACACACCTCCTGTCAATGTGTGTCTGCCTTTTAGTCATCAACTTACATGGAGACAGTTACCAATGCAGTATCTGAGCTAAGTTTGCCAATTAAAAACCTGTAGCATTACCTGTATGCAAATTAGAGTTGCCAGACCCATGTGACCTTTTCCATGTGTTATGTGTTAAAAGTAGATAGTTTGTGCTTAATGCTACACATTTAGCTTATCAAAGTGGCTGAAACTGGACAAAGAAATTGAATAAAAGAAGAAAGTTCAGTGTTTGCAGTAAATGCAGTATATAGCTAGGTTCTGTGGAAACTAGCTTGAATGTCAGTAATGACAAGAGATCTATCAAACTCTTTCAGCATGAATTTGTTTTTGACACAGGAGATGGCAGATTGCGTCCTACTTTAATCATCACTCATCCTATTCTGACACTTCCACATCGCTCTTCCATTATACAGTGCATAAAGCTGTTTGAAGCACCCATTCCCCCAGGCAGACTGTTGTGTGTTTTCATTTGCTTCTCCTGCGAGGCAATAACCTTACTTTTAAACTGTAGAACCCTATTACTGAGCTCTGAGTTTGGGCGCATCATAAAAGTGGTACTTTTAATGTAAACTAGTGAATATATTTACCTTTCAGCACCACCTTCCTGAGAGAAAAAAAACATGTTTATGCATTTTAGTTTTGCTGGAATACTTTTTGTTTTYGCCTCTGTGCAGTATCAGATATGAAGTTATTTAATGTTATTATGCATAAAATCAGAGGTGAGTTGTTGATGCAATAGTCAGCAGATAATGATTCAAATCTGTTGTTTCATTGTGATTGATGAGCTTCTGTTGGTTTGCACCCTTTCCCAGTGAAAATGTACAGTATCTAATTTACAGTTAAAACAAAGTTGACCTTCACATTTTTATTGCCTTTCAGAGTTTTCTGCAAGCACTACAGCTGAAAAGCAGCACAGCATAGTCTGACTGAACAAGGGCTTGAGACCATCTTGAAAGCTTTAACTCAGTTTTACAAAAACAATTGCCCTGTAGTGCATGCTGCTAACATTTAAAGACCATTTTTGTTCGCATGYAATTTCCAGATGTTTGTATATTGTTCAAGAATTAAAATTCCATCAGCTAAGATACTTCCACAGAAACACTTCGATTTCACAACCAACTATAAATCAACTGATTTTTTTTTCATAAGAACATGAAAAACTACACTTACTAACAAATGAACAAAACCATTATCAGGGTTCCCACATCTTAGTCAACATCAAATTCAAGGACCTTTCAAGGACTTTCCAGTACCAATTTCTTCAAATTAAAGAACCACGCGCAACGGCAATTACTTACTGCTTCCGCAGAACGTTACCAATAAACAAGCTTAATATTGTGTGAATTCAATGAAAAACTGAACAACATGATGTCAGTTTACCGTAATCCTGAGTTATCCACTGCAACAAATGTAAGTTTTTATTTTAATTTAATGTCATAATTTATTTTTAAAAGGATTATGAAGATCAGTCATGTGAATAGAGCATTTCAATCCCCAAAAAACATTCAAGGACTTTCAATGACAAGCGTAATTTTTGGCTGTTTTCACAAACTTTCCAGGGCCTTGAAATATTTTTTTCAAATTCACAAACTTTCAAGGATTTCAAGGACCCATGGGAACCCTAAATTACGCACCCTGACAAAGTGATAGAAATTAAATAAAACTGCACATGTTGGACCATKGTGCAATGCTAATGTCACTTCAAATGCCAGATCAGCAAAGATGCAAAGCTGCTTCCATGTTAGTGGAGAGTACACCCAAGTCAGCTCAAAGCTGTTGGAACTGGTCCTTGAGATCCAACAGATCAGACTGGGTTAAAGTGAACATTTTAGCTGATCCCACACATGTTCAACTAAAAAAGCTTGGTAAAAGTGACTAGCCTTGGGAGGACTTCAACATGAAGTGGGCAATCCATAAAAAGGCATTTCTTGTGTGGACAAGCGTTGTGTTTTTCTAATATTGTATCACAATGATGTCTCTGAAGGGGTAAGACACGAGGACAGGAGTAACACCGGCGTGTCTCATCAGTCTTTTTTATCTCTGTGTTACCATACTTGCACATGAAAGTCTTGCATGCAAATTCCAAACTGAAATTCATTGCTGAACATGCCACTCATCATCAGTCCATGATTCCCAGCACCACTCCAAACACAACCGTCTCTGCTCTGGTCTTGATGGCTGTCTGCATGAGATTGTCAATCCTGTAGTCTGGCTGAGAGTTTGGTACCTGTGTCTGGTTGGCAGGCACAGATGCTATAGGGTTCTGTAATGCTTGGCACTCACTTCAAATATCCTTCCTTGGTGGTCTGGCATAGGAGACCAGAACATGAGTGGGTGCCATCACATATCCACTGGTTCCAACACTAGGTCATTTTGACATCTGTACAGCCCCACATGCTGAATAATGTGCTCTAGACACTGCAGCACATTGAAAGTCTTTTCACACTTAAAAAAAAAACAAAAAACAGATGTAGTGGATTTTATTTTAAAAGGAATGTCAACTGGTTCTACTCAGCTGTTCTAAAGATTTCCTCTAACTCTAAACCTTTACAAAGAAAAGAGCAAAATCTAACAAATCYAAATACTMYATTAGACRATYAACCAAAMAAGCTAAACTTTRAGTAAATGTAAAAATGTAAAGTAAACATGTTACCTTTACTCASTTCAGCTGAGTGGAACCAGWTGACATTTATTTTTTAAGTAAATCCACTACATGTGTTTTTTGAGTGCACTTTAACACCCATCAGTGGTCTACTTATGTACAAAATTATGTTTAAGTAAAACCATTCCAGGTGCTTCTCTTTTATTTTATTTTTTTTATTAATGTGTAACTGACAAGATAAAATCCTAAAACATTTATAACTATAAAGAGAATTGTTATAATACAGTATACATATAAAAATGTAAGATATCCAAAATGTCATGACTGGTGTCTGTGATTATGATTTATTCTAAGTTTTCTGTCTTTTCCTCCTCTGTTTTCTTCATCCTGTCTGCCTTTGCTCCAGCCCCACCCACTCTCACCTGATTCTCATGTTTCTTCCCCAGGTGTTTCTTGTTTCTACTCTTTAGTTTCCCTTCATATTCTGTTCAGTGTCTGCAGTGTTTTTCAGGTCTTTGTTTTCTGTTTCATGTTCATGTTCATGTTCATGTTCATGTTCATGTTAAAGCACAAGCTCAAGTCTTTGTATTTAGTTTGCTGCCACGTCAGCACTTTGTTTTTGTTTAATAAATACAATTTTGCCACCTTCACTCAGTCCTGCATATGGGGTTCTAATCAACCAARCCCAAATCATAACACAAAATGCCAAAAGTGCAAAACAATAACAATAATTATTTTTTCATAACATTTTTCTATAAATGTCTTAATGTATTGCTGTTTGGTTCACAAACTTATCCAGTTTTAGCAATTCTTATTGAAGACCATAGATGTGGAAAAATATTCAAATTGTCAGGTGCCACAATGCTTGCCAAGTCTGATAAAAATGAATAAATAAATAAAAAAAATGTCAGCCTGCCAACTAATTACAAAACCGATCACAAATTAAAATTAAGCACCCAAGCTGTTACGATGAGCAGCTAACCTTGACATGTCATGTTAACTACAATGTGATAAATAATTGTTTGGGTGTTTTCTTTTTCTTTTTTTCTCCCCAAAGTCTGGAGCAAAGTTCTCCTCAGCATAATGAAACAGTAATGACATAGTTTCTGTTCATATTTGATAAGGATAGAGTCATTTACCTTGAGACAGGACCCACTGGTTGAGCTTTACGTGGTACAACACAGAGCGAAGACTCCAGTGTTGAACGAGGGGATAGCCAGAAACTTCACTGTAGTTCACCATACCTACGGGAGCATACAGAAAAGATAGCTTATTAACATGAATGCTGTCCCCTGGAGCTATAATGTAGCAGAGTTTAAGGTAGTGTTATTCCCCATGTGTAAATCCCTCCAGAAAACACTCAACTCCCCATTAATGTTTTATTTACTCCTCAGTAGTGGGTGAGATTGCAGACTTCAGTGTCAGATCAAAGGTTGGCCCTACATTTCATTCTTGTTTACTTTACCCGAAGAACCAAGAAGCAAAATGTAACAAATCTAAATACTACATTAGACAATAACAGACAGGAGCACGGAGTGCCTGCGGTGTTGGATCAAAGGTGAAACCCATCAGCCGCCTGTCCTCCACCAAAAACTATAAACTCAGGATGTRGCAACAATAATGTAAAGCCTATTTGAAAAGAGATAGAGGAAAGAAGAGGACAGGCTGAAGGTCTGCAATGTTAGACGAAAAGAAAGGCAAACCTCCCACATGAACACGTAATGCAGTCATACAGCTTTCATCATCACCAAATAAATGTCCAATTCTTCCATTGTAGTCAACCTTTACATTCTTTCTGTTTAGGTATGGATGTTGAAAAATGTGAAGATCTTAATTCTACAAAGGATTCAGATGTAAACAATCAACTCTCTGTTGATGGATTTAAACTGAGAATAATCCCATTTTGTTCACTTTAAATTTCCTTTTTTGCTCTAAAGATTTCCTCTAACCCTAACCCCATACAAAGAAAACAAATTTAATTAAAACATAAACCTGCCCTTTACAAAACAGTWCTTGTTTTGAATAAAACAACATATAACTACTTTTACTGATGAGATGTGACCACTGTAGAGCATCCAGCAACAAACAACCAGCAGTACAAACCTCTCTTAGCAAATAATTAAGGCAAAATAAATGATATACAGAATAAAATCTCCAGCAAAAAATGCATAAGACAGAAATATCACATTGCTGTTGATGTATAGTTTTCATTGTTAAAACTTCTGTTGCTCTGGGAAACAGATTATATATAATGAATTCTTAATGATTTATYTACATCAAGGCAAAGCAAAAACATTGATCCATATCATCATCAAAAGCCTAATGTGTACCAATATCATTGGGTCATCTAACACAGTCACTTTAATGATAGATGCCAGRATGTGGTCCTTGAAGAAATGAGGACTCAGGTTATAGATACCAGGTAAAAAATAAAAATAAAATAAAATAATAAATGAAAAAAAACTTAAGAGGCTGGCCTGACACAYGACAAGAGGTGCAAACACAATGAGACACAAACAGAAAGAGCACACTGAAAGTGCTACTTAAGGGCAGGTAGGCTAATCGGGAATCAGCTGGACACACATAAATGGAGAGGAAACTCTGGCAGAAAACACAAGTTAAAACCCAAACCATGAAAATAGTGTTATTTGGACTTAATATGTTGCATCATACTGATCACAGATTGAATTGAATTGAATCAAAATCTTATCATGACAACCTTTGTGGTATTGAGAAACATWGYATCATCATCTAAACAAATCAGTACAATGTGAAACATAATGTGACAAGGCTGGTGATTTACACTTCTACTAGATACATATCCCCATTACCTTTTTTATGCCTCCACTCAGAGGCATWCTGTTCTTTGGTTATCCTTATATGCGTAAGTGGGTGCAAAATTCCATCTGCCACACTGTCTTGTGTGCACTGTGTCTCCTGAACGGAGCAAGTGATTTCGGTCCAAATCAGCATGTTAATTGTTCTTAGTCCAGTGGTGGTCTGGAAACGTTTTGGAGTCAAAGGTCAAATAAGAAGGTCAAGTAAAGTGATGCTCAGTGTTTTAAATGCAGAAGAGTCTAGGGCAGGGAGAGGCAAACCAGTCGATGCTTTGGAGTCGAGTTCTGCCTTGTTTTAATGTGCCACATATGTTGCATTTCTTTCCAAGACTATGCATTCAATCTTGATAGTTGATGTAAATCTTATAAATTGTTTTCAGTACAGACTTATAAATTAGGACTCCATGTTTCCATTCTGGAAAATGTATAACAAGACATAAACACCTCAGAGCAGCCACATAGAACAGCACTCATATTTTTAAAGTGTAGCTTTTACCCAGTGTTCCTTCACAGCCTAGTATATTACCCATATTGATTTGGTCTCATTTAGCAATCTTTTCCTTGCTGAAATCGATAGTGCCCATCCCTTCTGCCTGAAGTAGTCACCCGTGTACAAGTGTTTTTCATTCTGATGCACTGCTCTGTCTCGCAAACTTTATGCATACTACGTGCTGCGATGATCGGCGACCTCTCAATGTATTCAGCAAAATCAAAGCCAATAGATGAAGTGCAACTTGCAGTGGCACTCATGAGAAAAGGGGAAACATTAATCATTCATGACAAAAAGGCAAATCCAGATGCTTTTAGGAGTAGATTAATCTACCCGTTTCTTAAACGAGTTGTTTAAAGACATTGTGCAATTACTGCCCATCATTACAACTAAAACACTATCTTTTTTTAAGGCTAGCTAACTATGTTAACATTTTTTATTTAACATTTTGAAAATGGAGATTTTTATCTATATATATATATAATTTTTTTTGTGGCAGGGCTCTCCCGGCTTTRCACAATGATGCAGAAACGGGACCCCTTAACATCACTTTTATCAAAACCATAGGCAGAGCTGCCGAGTATAAATCATRTTGTCTCCCATGGCAACTGACAGCAGTGTCATGCTGCAGCAGTGGGATTATGGCCATATATCACTGTGACTGCCCCCACAGTGTTCACAACCACATCCAGAAGGTATCTGAATCATGCTGGTGGCAGAGACAGGTATCCTGCAACCACAGACACGGAAGAGAGGAAAGGAGAAGAAAAGAAAGAAAAAAAGAGATGGAGGCAAGGGACAGATAAGAAACTGTGTGTTTGTGTATGCATTTGTGAGATTTYGCTGGGTTTGTTTGAGTGTGATAAATCAATGCATGAGGCGCAACAAAAAGGAACGAGCTGCAAAGGTACATATTCTATATGAAAAGGTGAGAGGGGAGGAGAGGACGATGAATAAAGAAAAAAAAAAGGTCTGCCATCTCCCACGATGCATGCATGTCTCAACAATGAAGATGTGTCAGTTTCCAACACAAAGAAGAAGGATGGACTGCACATGTCGGATCTGAGACTGGTGGGAGATCACAGCAAATGATCATCTCTCCGGGGATAAAATGTTTATTTCTTTACAGGGACTCAGACTGTAATCAGGTAAACATAAGTAAGGGGAAAATAAAGTGCTATAAAAACACAACAAGAAAAAAGGTATCCAGAAAAAATAAARTAAAATTTTGACGTCTAATGAGAAATTATCTCAAACCTTCAATATTGCATTGAGTACATTTAGTTTATAAAAGGAGCTGCTGTTTCTTTGGATACGTGTGCGACAAAAATCTGTATTTTTGCAAATGCGAGGATCATAGTAATAGATTTGAAAGTGAAAATAAATAGCTAGTTATAGAAACAGTCTTATAAAATACTCTTATTCGGTTGAMTTATATGGAGGACCGAAACTGACATAATTAGAAGTAAAATCAGAAATATATAAATGGAGCAATAAATAAATAAAAACACTTAAGATACATCAAAATAGAAAAGTCAAGTTTTTAAATACTATTTTGCATCCCAACTCTTTATTTCACCCTTTGCTTGATTTGTGGCACCAAATACAAAKAGTTTGGAAACCATTGTTGTTAATATGTTATTATTTAATTAAGTACTGACCAGCTGTCAGCAGGAAGCATAATTTATTTATTTATTTGTTTGATATCATTATTTTCATTTATAGTTGCCATTATTTGGTGTGCCTGCATAGCATGTAGGCATTTTTTGGGAAACCATATAAAGCATGTTTAGTTGTCTAAACAGCAGCAGTTCATCAACGCCGTGCTTTGGTACGGCAGTGTGGCTCAGCTTGAGACTTTGTGACAACAATGCATAATGACAATAAAGCATAACTACACAAAGAATTAAGCATGTTTATTTACTTCATGAGTAATTACCTTTCTKTGTGTATATTTATGTTTCCTCCTTCTGAATTCTACTTAACAAACAGCAGGAAGTTGTATTGCTTTGTTAAACAGTTTATGAAGCCCTCTATTCAGTACCACCAAGGATTTAAACATTTTAAAGGAGTAGCATAAAACTCTTTCTCATTAGCTGAGAAGTTGGCAACAAACATATGCCTTTTTGCATAGGTTGGCCTGGTGTGGTCTGGGTTCAAAATCGGGATGTTTGCATTGGCCCGTATAGCTGGGTTCCTCCTCTATTTCTGGAATCCTGAGAGCTGAGTTTCTATTAGAGCCAACCTGCCTGGCCAGATTTGATGTCAGCTACAGTTGCCCATTAATTGGCTCACTGATGGGGATAGTCACGTCATGCAGATACAATTAAATTTACATGAAGTGTTTGCCAAATAAAGCTGACTTTTTTTTAATACAACAGCTATAGCAAGCTCCCAAGCAACAACGAGTTAGCTTCGATTAGCTAACCGCCCTCTGTCATCTTGCCCTCTAGTCTTATACATCATGTTGCTTGGTGTATATTTGATTCAATATTTCTAATCTCTATTTCAATCTTTCTAATTATAAAGTATTTCCTCTTTGTTTTCCCTCTTTTCCTATTTCCTCTTTACCTAAAAAAAATCACTGATGATGAAGAAATTAAGAAACTAATATTAAGTACTTTTTTCTTCTGAAATTATAAAAAAGCATTGTTGCTGGATAATTCAGTACATTTTTTGATACTTTTCCATTGAGTCATTATTCTTGTTGCAAATAAAACAAAATAAGATTTGCACATTTTTAATTTTATAATCCTCACCCACATCGAGGCAGCTCTCGGCTCAATGCAAACATAAAAAGGACCAGGGCGATCCAGGTCTTACAAGACAAACATGCCTATAGTTCCCTGGAAGTACCCCATAGGTAGTGGGCTGCATTATGTGTTGCTACCTCACTGTTTTAATTCATCTCTTCCAC